CTTCCCCGTCCACCGCAGAGTAGGTGTGGTCTCCGACAAGGAGACACGAGGTTGAAGGTTGATCTGATGCGCAGCGTACTGAACCGCGAACGGCCACAGAAAATGGGGAGCAGCCGCATGGATCATGGACGTACGAGCGACGTCCATGACCATGCCAATGCGGCGCTCAGCAATCCCATTTTGCTGCGGGGAGGCCGGAAGCGTGAACGTCTGGCGGATGCCCTCCAAACGACAGAAGGCTCTCAGGAGGTCGGAGGAAAACTCCCCGCCTCTGTCCGAGTGCAGACGCTGAACAGGAAGGTCTGAGCCGAAACTCTCACTGAGCTGGCGACGAGTACCGCGGATCCAGTCGATCAACACCCCAGGGACCTCACCCTTGCTGCGCAAGGGGAAGACTGTGGTGTAACGCGAGTAGTCGTCAACGACCAGGAGGAAGTAGCGCTCACGCACGCGGGCTGGGCCCCACACGTCCATGTGAAGAGTCTGCAGAGGAGCCTCAGTCGGAGGAAACGAGGAGGAGTGAGGGGCGGCGCGCTGCCGGCCCTCGACACAAGGAACACAGGTGGGGGCAGGCCCCGGAGGAAGGGGAGGGAGGGACCTGGGTAGACCCGAGACAAGGGCACGGGAGGCCATACCTCGAAGACGAGGCAGGGAGGGGTGACCAAGGCGGTGGTGCCAAAGGAGAGTCTCGTGTGCCAAAGGGCGACACGAGCAGGGGGCAGACGCAGGACTAGACCTGGACGCGGCAGCAAACACCTGACTGGACGCAGCTACCTGACCAGATGCAGAGACCGGAGGAGGCGCAGTAGTCAGTGTGGACAGACTCGACCTTGGCCGACGGGTGAACGTGGCCAGGTGACGGCCCGTCCGAGAGCAAGTGCAGTGGGTCACACGCTGACCTCCAGGGGTGAACTGGTCAACCCACGCGTCCTGGAGGTCAGCTCCACTCACCAGGTTCGTAGAGAACGAGGGGAGGTGGAGTCCCGACAGCAAGCCCGACGGGGCCGCAGGACACGGTAGGACAGTGGAGGAGTGTGCAAGTACTGGGCCCCCTGAGGGGTCAGCAAGGGAGACCGCAACAGGCCGACGGAGCGGCGTGAGCGTGGTGCTGTCTCTAAAGAAAGAGCGCGAAGCACCAGAGTCAAGTGTGAAGGTGTGCAAGGACTCAGTAGGTGCAGTACCTGAGAGAGGAGACGTACCAGCACCTGAAGCAGCAGACGCACTAGCACCTAGAGCAGCAGCCACAGTGCCCGGGTCGGGCGGGACACGCAGGTAACAGTCACCCTCAGTAATATCAGCAAGAGCATACATGGCAGCAAGGATAGCATCAAAGTCTAGATCAAAGATAGGCACATTCTGCAGAAGCAGATCATGCCAACGAGGAAGATCAACAGCGTCAGGAAACTGGGTACGCCAAGCGTCAGTCAGGCGGCCGAAGCAGCGCTGCGTGGTGTGTGGGAGACCACACACCTCCCCACTACGAGTGCCTGTGCGAAGAACGTACGTGCAGGGACCTGCACCCCCAGACCTACCACGCCCAGCGTACCACTCACGAAGCTGCTGAACAGACGGGGTCTCACGGGTGCGCAGCTGCTGCTGACGCTGGCCGCCACCAAGGCCTCCACGCTGCGTGGCTGCACCGCGACCAGCACCACCTCCTCCGCTACCTCCACCACTGCTGTCGCCGCCTCCACCGCCTCCGCCACCGCCTCCACGGCCTCCACTGCCGCCACCGACGCCCCCACCCCCGGGACCACCCCCACCACCACCTCCACCTCCTCCACCGCTTCCTCCACCTCCCTTGCTTCCCTTGCCCTTGCTAGTGCGGCGTCGCCAACTAGGGGCAGACGCAGCGCCGACCTCCTCAGTGCCAACGAGGTCGACAGCAGCAGCAGAGGCAACAGAGGGGAGAAGGGGGACAGGGGAACACCCCTCAAAGAAGGGGGTGCGACGGTCGCCGCGAGAAGCCCCAACAGCTAAGATACTCTTCTCAGCTGCAGCAAGGCGCTCCTCTAGCAAGTCGACAGTCAGCTCGGTAGGGCAAAGGGAGAGAAAGTGATCCCTGACTGAGGAGAGAGAGTCAGGGAGGCGGGTGACTAGGTAGTAAAGGGTGATGTACATGGGGGGGGAGTTCGTGGGAAGAAACTCAGTGGGAAGGGCAGCGCGGTAGCGAGCGTCACTAGTGCGGAGGTGAGCAACTAGGTCAGCAACTGTGGCAAAGGCGGCAAGGTCAGGAAAAAGGTACGGCAGCATGAGGCGGCTGAGGGCAGCAGTGGTAGGGGAGGAGTAGCGTGCAACTACAGCGTCGTACAGAGCCCTAGCACTCTTGTACTGACTAAAGTGCGCGCGCTCAGTAGACGGCAGGTGATTGCGCACAGCAAGACGAGCAGCAGCATCGCGCGTGAGCCACTGCGAGCGAACAGTACTGTCAGCATCAGCAGTAGGGGCAGTAGAGGCGCCAGACGTGAGATCGAACAGTGAGAGACCATCCTTGCTATCGCACTGTAGGAAAAGTTGCAGATCATCTAGCCAGACCTCAAAGTCAACCGCTCGACCCTCAGCATCAAAGGTAAGAACATTGAGACTAGCCATGACAAGAGAAGCAGCAGGCTAGCAGCAGCAGCAGTGCAACTCGGCTAAGCAGGCTAGGCAGGGCGGCGCAGCTCGGCAGGGCGGTGTGGCTCGGCAGCGCGGCGCTCTTACCAGGGGAGAGGCTGGGGCAGGGCCGGGGTAGGGCCGGGGCAGTTCAGGAGCAGGGCCGGGGCAGTGCCGGGGCAGTTCAGGAGCAGGGCCGGGGCAGGGCCGGGGCAGGGCCGGGGCAGAGCCGGGGCAGAGCCGGGCCAGGGCCGGGGCAGTTCAGGGGCAGGGCCGGGGCAGGGCCGGGGCAGTTCAGGAGCAGGGCCGGGGCAGGGCCGGGGCAGAGCCGGGCCAGGGCCGAGGCAGTTCAGGGGCAGGGCCGGGGCAGTGCAGGAGCAGGGCCGGGGCAGTTCAGGAGCGGGGCCGGGGCAGGGCCGGGGCAGGGCCGGGGCAGAGCCGGGGCAGGGCCGGGGCAGGGCCGGGGCAGAGCCGGGCCAGGGCCGGGGCAGTTCAGGGGCAGGGCCGGGGCAGGGCCAGGGCAGTTCAGGAGCAGGGCCAGGGCCGTTCAGAAGCAGGGCCGGGGCAGGGCCGGGGCAGAGCTGCGACAGGGCTGCAGCAGGGCCGGCGCAGGGCCTGACGGGGCCTGACGGGGCCGAGAACTGGGCCTGACGGGGCCGTACGGGGCCTCTAACGGGGCCTGACAGGGCCTTACGGGGCCTTACGAGGCCTTACTGGGCCGTACGGGGCCTAAAGGGGCCTTAAGCAGGGGCCTGACGGGGCCTTACGGGGCCTTACGGGGCCTTAAACGGGGCCTGACGGGGCCTTACGGGGCCTTACGGGGCCTTAAACGGGGCCGTAAACGAGGCCTTACGGGGCCTGACGGGGCCTTACGGGGCCTTACGGGGCCTTAAACGGGGCCTTACGGGGCCTTACGGGGCCTTAAACGGGGCCGTAAATGGGGCCTTACGGGGCCTTACGGGGCCTTAAACGGGGCCGTAAATGGGGCCTTACGGGGCCTTACGGGGCCTAACGGGGCCTTACGGAGCCTTACGGGGCATTAAAAGGGGCCGTAAACGGGGCCTTACGGGGCCTTACGGGGCCTAACGGGGCCTTACGGGGCCGTAAACGGGGCCTTAAGGGGCCTTACGGGGCCTTACGGGGCCGGAAAAGGGGGCCTTACGGGGCGGGCGCTGGCACTAAGGGCAGGCGCAGGGGCCGCGACGGGCCTCGAAGGGAAGATGCGACGCGCGCGTCTAGCAGGCAGTGACGAATTTCAGTGGTGAGCCCTTTTTAAAAATTCTCGAAACTAGCTCTATACCATGTGAGAAGGATTGACGAAAAGAATGAATAAACTAGAGAATGAGATGGGTACAAATAGGAAACACATAAGTGTTGTACCCTCTAAGAGCTACCCCACTACAGCCTAAATAGACCATAGCAGATATAAGTTTGAAAATATTTGCACTTTCACCGCGTCCTAAAGGTAAAGGTTATAGGGGAAACCCCCTTTGGTATTACCCCGACTGTCGGTCGTAACCTGCCTCCCCATGTGTTTACACGCCTCGTTGGGTAACGAGGTTGTTCTATCCACTCCCAGATGAGCACCTGTATAGTCCGTTTAGTGGGGACTGGCTGTAAATGCCGCAGGGGGGATTTGATACCGGGACCTCATCTTTCGAAAGTGAACCAGCTACCGTAACTAGCTGTGCCACTTCAGGATAAGGTGAGAGGGTAGGGGGGGGCGGGAGGGATGTACATCGGACCATTTATCCATTTCGTATTCTCGATAATTACGACGAATTACGCACCCCCTTCACTAACAGTCATTATAGAATGCGGCAATGGTTTGTAAGTGAAACGTTTTATAAAATGCAGAGAGATATATGGAAATGGTAAGAGGCTAGAAGTACAGACAATATCCTCGTTAAGGAGATGAGGCCAGCACAACAGGGTGCAGTGCAAGCCATTCGCCGTGGCTCGGATTCTTTGCCAGCTGGGCGTGCTCTGTCGGTAAGGTTCGACAGGGCTACCACGTAGTGCGGACGTGGCACACCTCGGGTTTGGATTGCTTTGGGAGTTGCTTTTCCAGCGAAGCTCAACGCTTTTTATCCTCGGCACTGGGATCATCGCGGAGTTCTGTGACTGGTTTGTGTTCTTTCAAGGCTTCATTTCACGCAGCACAACACCTGCTGCTCCAACGTTTCCTGAGAATCAGGATTTCTGATTCGCCAGTCACGAGCGTCCGAAGCATGGCTCCCGTTACAGGTATCGCCTGTTCGCACGCAGTGTCGCTACGGCTGGGCTCGTCCGCAGCCGCCTCCTCGTCGTCACCTTTCTGCACAGGCGAGCCTCGCCAAACCGCTCGCATCGCGTCACGTAGAAACCGAGGGCATGGCACTGCTAGGAAAGGTCGTCTGGTGGCCATGGCTGGTAGACAAGATGACTCAGGAAGCAATAAGGACGTGGCGGGAGCGGGAATGACGTGGGTGAGCCCTGATTGGCTGACGTCGTTGTTCGAGAAGCTGCGCGGCCCCGACGACTCGGGCATTCCCGTGGCGGACGCGAAGCTGGACGACGTGAAGGACCTGCTGGGCGGCGCGCTCTTCCTGCCGCTCTTCAAGTGGATGCTCGAGTCCGGCCCCGTCTACCGGTCAGTCATGCTCGAGTCCGGCTCCGTCTATCGGTGAGTGATATGCTCGAGTCCAGCTCCGTCTATCGGTGAGTGATATGCTCGAGTCCGGCCCCGTCTATCGGTGAGTGATATGTTCGAGTCCGGCCCCGTCTACCAGTCAGTCGCGTGAATGGGTCGTTTGCGATCGACTTTGATCGCTTTTGGGGTGCCTGAACGGCAATGGCTTGTTTGTGCAAGAGAGGAAGTGCAATGGCCTTGTTGCCCGCTTGCAACTCTGAGGGACAAATTAATGTCCAGGAGAGTGCTGCGTTACGAGAATGATGCAGTGCGATTCAATCTTGTCAGGAAAATATAACATTGTCAGGCGAAACAACGGTCGTGAGAGAGCCCGCTGTTGTCAGGAGAACATGCATGGGTCCACAACTTGCCGAGGAGGCCCCATGGGCTGCCAGCGATGCCCGAGTCATTCCCCCACAACCCCCCCGCGCAGGCTGGCAGCGGGGCCGCGCAACTTCGTGATTATCGGCGAGCCGGAGGCGGCGAAGCACGTGCTGCGGGGGTACGGCTCGATATACGCCAAGGGGCTCGTGGCGGAGGTGGCGGAGTTCCTCTTCGGCTCGGGCTTCGCCATCGCCGAAGGCGACCTCTGGACCGTACGCGCTCTCTCCCTTAATCCCCACCCCGCGCTCGCTGCCCTGATCCGTTTCCCCGCTCGGCCTTCGCCATCACCGAGGGCCACCTTTGGACCGTACGCTCTCGCTCTCTCGCGCTCTTTCGCCCTCCATCCGCACCCCGCGCTCGCTCCTTCGCGCTCTCCTTCCCTTGCGCCGTGACTCGCGCGCGTAGGCTGCGTCTGCTGCATTCACATAAAAAATTCTTGCCCGTGCACCCACATCCGACACGTGGCATGTGTTGCGCGCAGGCGCGGCGGCGCGCAGTGGGCCCGTCGCTGCACAGGCGGTACCTGGAGACGATGGTGGCGACGGTGTTCGCCAGCAGCACGCAGCACCTCGTGGACAAGCTGCGCGGCAGCGCGGCGCGCGGCGAGGATGTGAACATGGAGGCGATGTTTTCGCAGCTGACGCTGGACGTGATCGGACTCGCCGTGTTCAACTTCCAGTTCGACTCGCTCTCCACCGACAGCCCGCTCATCCAGGCCGTCTACACCGCGCTCAAGGAAACCGAGTCGCGCTCCACCGATATCCTCCCCTACTGGCAGGTGCGCCCGCGCATTGCGGTACAGACAGGTGAGGCGGTTGGCGGTTGGTGATGTGAACCCGAAGTAGGCCGCCACTTACCTAACACTGGAGATGGATTGGAAACGAGTTTAGAAGAAAAAGAACAAAGCTCTCAATCTGTCAGGCCAGTCGAAGCTTTGTCAGACTGTGGCCGACACTGGCTGGCACAGGCAGAGATGCGTGTGCATGCGGTTCGTACCGCCCATGCATTCCCCTAGCCCCATTGCTGCTCACAGCGAGGAGCTGGAGTTCCCCATTTCCAGCAGTAACGACGCTGCCATGCCATCACACCTCCCCCATCCCCCCACCTTCTCTCCTCCCTCCACCCCCCCACACCTCGTGCCTCCGCCACCTGCGCAGGTGCCAGTGCTGTGCCGCGATAGTCCCGCGGCAGCGCAAGGCGGCGGAGGCGGTGAGGGTGATACGGACGACGGTGGAGGAGCTGGTGGCGCAGTGCAAGTGCATTGTGGAGGCGGAGAACGAGCGGCGGGGCGACGACGAGGAGTACGTGAACGAGACCGACCCCTCCATCCTGCGCTTCCTCCTCGCCTCCCGCGAAGAGGTGAGCTCGCTTCCTGCTCTCCAGCCATGATAAGGTGAGCGCGGCCGCAACGAGGTGGGCTCTTGTGCCATGCCCCCCATGTGTCCCCTCTGCTCCTTCCCATATCGCGCTGCTCAGCAGTGAGCAGTGCCCGGGCTCTCCATGTGCTGGAGACCTGAACTAATCATCTTCCGCTCCTCCCCTTTTCCCCGACCCTGTCCCTGCCCGCATGTGGGGCGAGCAGGTGTCGAGCGTGCAGCTTCGGGACGACCTGCTGTCCATGCTGGTGGCGGGCCATGAGACCACTGGCTCCGTGCTCACATGGACCGTCTACCTCCTCGCCCAGGCACGCCCGCCCTACCCACCTCCCCACTCCCCCTAAGCTATAAGCACATTCACCCTTTTTCCATGCAATCACCCGCCTTCACTCACTCACCCCCCTATTGCACGAACGCACAGCTTTCAAATGCTCGCCCCCTTTTCCACACTCTTCTTGCATAAACATCCTACACATTCACACCTCTTGCACACAGCACCCCCTTTTGCACATTCACACCTCTTGCACACAGCACCCCCTTTTGCACATTCACACCTCTTGCTCACAGCACCCCCTTTTGCACATTCACACCTCTTGCTCACAGCACCCCCTTTTGCACATTCACACCTCTTGCTCACAGCACCCCCTTTTGCACATTCACACCTCTTGCACACAGCACCCCCTTTTGCACATTCACACCTCTTGCTCACAGCACTCCCTTTTGCACATTCACACCTCTTGCTCACAGCACCCCCTTTTGCACATTCACACCTCTTGCACACAGCACCCCCTTTTGCACATTCACACCTCTTGCACACAGCACCCCCTTTTGCACATTCACACCTCTTGCTCACAGCACCCCCTTTTGCACATTCACACCTCTTGCTCACAGCACCCCCTTTTGCACATTCACACCTCTTGCACACAGCACCCCCTTTTGCACATTCACACCTCTTGCACACAGCACCCCCTTTTGCACATTCACACCTCTTGCACACAGCACCCCCTTTTGCACATTCACACCTCTTGCACACAGCACCCCCTTCAGCACCCCCTCTGCACTCCTCCCACACCTCTTGCACACGAATCACCTTTCCGCTTCATCCCCTGCTCATCCCTCCTCACCTCCCCCTTTTCCCCCCTTCCCCCTCCGCTGCCCATCGGTCTCCCCATTACCTGGCACTCCCCTTGGCAGCACCCGGAGAAGATGGCGAAGGCACAGGAGGAGGCGGAGCGGGTGCTAGCGGGGAAGAGCCATCCGAGCCTGGCGGACACGAGGGAGCTCAAGTACCTCACCCGCTGCATCAACGAGTCCATGCGCCTCTACCCCCACCCCCCGGTCAGTTCACAGTTGTGTGAGTTTCATGGGAGGGTGCAACGCAAGGGCCTCCACGCAGCACCAAGCGTCGGCTCCATGTACGGTTGCAACTTGCATTTGTACCTGTTGGTTGGCAGTGGTGGGCAGGTGCAGGCACCCAGCTCTGCTGCCCGCTGCTGCTGGCATGTGTGTGCCTGTGACGAGTTGGTCCTGATGCAAGCCTTACACTCTCTCACCCTGCCCTCTGCCCTCTGCGCTGCCTGCCCTCCCCTGCCTGCCCCCTCCCCGCCCCTGCCTGCCCTCTCCTCTGCCCTCCCCTGCCTGTCCCCTGCCCGCCCCTGCATGCCCTCGCCTCTGCCCGCCTTCCCCTGCCTGGGCTGTGCGTGCAGATCCTCATTCGGAGGGCGGTGGTGAGCGATGTGCTGCCAGGAGGGTACAAGGTGCAGCCGGGGCAGGACATGATGATCTCCGTCTACAACATCCACCATTCGCCCCAGGTACGTGCTGCTCTCCCGTGCACCACCCGCTGCAGGCACGTGCACCCATGGCCTCTCCATGCCTTCATCTCTGCACCTCTCTTCATCCCCACACTCTCATTTCTCTGCTTTCATCGGCAACCGCTTCAGTTCTCCCCCTCACATGGATTCATACCGCGTGACCAACCCCCATGGCATGACCCCTCTGGCACCAACCCCATGGCATGACCTCATGGCATGGCATGGCAGGTGTGGGAGCGCGCGGATGAGTTCATGCCGGAGCGCTTTGACCTGGATGCGCCCGTGCCCAACGAGGTCAACACCGACTACAGGTGGGGTGGGCCACTGCACTGCCAACAACCTTGGACCAATGGCAGTGCATGTGGTCTTTCTGATGGCATAAACGGGCCTTGCTGCACGGCGTTCATTCTTCTGCACATTGCTTTTGCCTCAAGTTGCCTGCCCCTCCACCAATCGCAACTGCTGATCACAGAACCCTTCCAGCAATACATATTCACATTCCCCGTTCTTCCCCTTCTTTCCCATTTGTTGGGCTTCTGTGTGGTCCCAGCACTACGCTGTGCCCCACTGGTGCCACGCCCTGCCACTCAGTGCCATGCCATGCCCCCCTTGCGCCCTGCGTGCTGCTCTGCTGTTCCCCCTTTTTCCCCCGGCACCAGGTACATCCCGTTCAGCGGCGGCCCGCGCAAGTGCATAGGGGACCAGTTTGCGATGCTGGAGGCCATCTGTGCGCTGTCCGTGCTCGTCCGCGAGTTTGACTTCGCGCTCGTGCCCAACCAGGACATCAGCATGACCACCGGCGCCACCATCCATACCAAGAATGTACGCATGCTGCATTCTGTTACTGCACCTTGCTGCACCTACCTACACTTTCTGCAGCTCCTCACCATTCTTGTGTTTGCTGGCTTTGCAGGGACTGTACATGACTGTCAAGGAGCGCGCAAGGTCACCAGTTCCTGCTTGATAAACAACACTAGGGTGCCAGAAATGAGTTGAATGTTTAGGCTGTGAAATAAGTGCAAACTCATCTCGCTATATAGAATGGAAAATAAGGCTCAAGTCTGTTAATGATGTCTAGGTAGTCTACAATCCAGATCGTGTCCAGTGAGCTGGCTACTCATGCTTGTGCTATGCATTGGCCCTGTTCGTCACAACCACGCGAACGCGAGGGGCGGTGGATGGGCGAGGGAATCCAGAAGGAGCGAAGGAAGATGCCAATAACGTCCGGGCCATGGGATCAGGAAGGGGGGTGAGAGGATTGAGCATTTCCCTCCCTCCTTCCTCCTACGGGCAAATCACTCGTCCATGCCATCGCGCACCTCCGAAAAGGGTGGTATGCACGAGGTAGCTACGAGGGAGGGGAGGGGATTCTCAGCTGGCAGGGCAAGAAACTGCGTTGCGCTTTCGCGTTCCCCCGCCCCAACCAAAAAAGGTGGGTGTTCGCCAGGACAACGAGCCCACCGAGGTTCGGAGGGGATCGTCAGGTTCGGCGAGATTTTGTTGGTCTGACCGTCCCTAAACCCTGATTTCAGCCCTTCAAGAAGGTGCAGGTGGGATTCTTGATCCCCTCCAGCAAAGGGCGTGGAGAACGGGCCTTGTGTACTGCTTTTAGAGAAGAAATACATTCACAGTTCAGATCTTATGGCTCGCGACAAATTGACACTGCTTTTAGAGAAGAAATACATTCACAGTTCAGATCTTATGGCTCGCGACAAATTGAACAGCAGAACAACGGGAACGCGAAAGCACTCCGATATACGCCCGCACGAGTCGTACAGTACGACACTCCCAAGGGAGGTCTGTGGGAGTCTTGAACATCACAATACAGAGGCTTGTGGCGTGTGCGCTAGGCATTATTATAGCCCTTGCTCGCTTTTGTACGACTTGATTTGTCTCACAGCTAGAAAACTGACGCGCACAGAAGGCGCACAGCCATAGCTGCGTTCTGCACGGTAGTGCTTCGTAGTAACTTTGTAGGTTTTGATTTGCAGACAAAATCTGTTCATAACGCGAGGCCCGCGCGCCATGGCGGGTGAGCGAGAGGGAGTGCCGTCGGATTTGGAACAGCGGCTGCAACGCGCGTGGATGCACGTGCAGCTCAAGACGTGCCGCATCGTGCAAGGTCCGTGCGCTCCGCCCGTCGCCTTGGCTCTTATGCCGTCGTTATGGTTCGTGCGTATTCGTGCCGTGTCTCGGTAACGAGATATTTCTGTATTCCCGTCTTCATTACCGCCACCTGTGCAACATTGCTCTCACATGAATCCATACTCCTCGCGCTCCCCGTCCCTCCCTCGCGCTCCGTTCTATCGTCCCCCGTGCTCTCCGCGCGTTCAGATCATCCGTGCGGCGGCCACCAAGGGGCGCACACACACTCGCACGGCGGCAACACGCGCGGCGGCGGTCAGCAGCAGCCGTCGCTACCGCCGCCGCAACGCACGGCGCGGGATCTGACGGCGACGTTGCAGCAGCTGTGGGGCAACACGCAGGAGCCGCTCGTTCCGCCCTCCGACCCCCGCCAGCCCGCCCCGCAGCCGCGACCTACGCCGCAGCCGATTTCCTATCCCTGCTCCCTCCCGCCCGCCACCTCTGGCGCCTCGTCGCAGGGCGATCGCACAGCGTCGCCCGGGCCGTCCGCGAGCTCGTCCTCGTCGCACTCCAATGGCCTCACGCCACGTCAGCACGCACAGCCGGCGGCCGTGCCTCTAAACTCCGCGGGCCAGCCCTGCCAGCAGCTCTCCCCGTCCCCCTCCACCTCTGGGCAGCCCAGCCCCGGCAGCTCCCCCGCGCCGTGCGCCTTCGTGCCGGGGCAGGCGGGCGGCGGCAGCGGGGGCGTGTGGCCGCGGCACGGGCCGAACTCGGTGGCGGAGCAGCTGCGCGAGCTGAGCGCGGCGGAGTGGCTGGCGCGCGTGCAGCAGGTGGAGCCGGTGCAGCTGGGCGCGGAGTACATGGAGGCGGACTTCTTCCGCGGACTGGACGAACTCACCTTCGCCTTCGACGAGATGGAGTCGCTCCTCCCCCACGACCTCAACCCCGCCTTCCTCTCCGCCCCGCCTGGCGCCTTTCACGGCGCACCAGGGGACGCAGGCATGGGCATGGACATGGGCGGGGCAATGGGGATGGGGGTGGGGATGGGCGAGGAGGAGCTGTTGGGGATGGCGGTGGACCGAATGGTGGCCGCTCCCCAGGGCATGGCGCCCGCGCATCCCCCCATGCCGCCCGCCTTCCCTGGCGCGCCCCCCAGCAGTTGCGCCAGGGATGGCGGGCAGGGCGCAGGGCAACAGGGCGGGGGAGTTGAGGGGACGGGAAGCGCGAGGTCGGGGGAGAGCCAGGGGCGCGCGGATAGCCAAGGGCGCGCGGAGGAACTGATGGCGCAGATGCAGAGGGCGGCGCTTAACAGCCCGAACGACTCCCAGGAGGGGTGGCAGCAAGGGGGCCAGCAGCAGGTGGGGCAGCAGGGGGAGCAGGCGATGCAGCAGGCGCAGCATGGAGTGCAGACGGCGGCAGGAGGAGGAGGAGCAGGCAGCAGCAGTGGCGGCACGGGCACGGGCACGGGGCGGTCGACGGTGATTCAGATGCTGCTAGACATCGCCAAGGCCATTGTGTCCGGCGACCATCTCCGCGTGAGTCCTAGGGGAGGCTTTAGGCTTTAGGGTTAAGAGAAAGAGCTGTTGAGAGGCAGAGAGGTAAGCGAATGGTAGAGGTTGGAGAGCAGGAGAAGGTGAGGAGAGGAGAGCAGGAGAAGGTGAGGAAGGGAGAGAAGGAGAAGGTGAGGAGGGGAGAGGGTACAGTTGCGTTGAGGCACGGTTTGTGGCCGTGGCAAGAGAAGGTGCATCTCATCTCTCGCATGCCATCTCCTACCTATCCCCCCATGCCATCACGCGCCCATGCCAGCGCCGTGCGCCGTGACGTGAACCGTGCTCTCAGGTGCATGTGCTGGTGAAACGCCTTGCGCCCATCTCCCCCGTCCCGTCACGCACCCATCCTTCCCATCTGCCCCCCTTCCCCCCCGCCCCCCCCAGGTGCACGTGTTGGTGGAGCGGCTAACAGCAGTAGCATCAGTGTACGGGGACGCCACACAGCGATTGTCCGCCTACTTCCTCGAGGGGCTGCTGGCCCGCGCCTCCGGCACGGCGCCCACAGGCCCCGGCTGCCCCGGCAGTGACGGCGCGGGGGCAGCGGGCGCGCTGGGCATCTACCGCTCCATCGACTGCGATGCCCCGCTGCTGCGCGCCTTTGAGGTGCGCTTACTGCTTCACAGTGGGGGGCTTGGAGATGAGGGGGGGGGGGGTTGTAAGGGCGAGTGAGGTGAGGGCGGTTGGGCTGTGAGGGCGTTTGGGGTGCGATGGTGTTATTGGAACATGGGAGGTGGGGCAGTGGCTGTGAGGAGGCGCGGTGTTGTTGTGGCCATGTCAGGCTCTTGCAGGAAGGAGGATGTATGACAAGGGGGCGGGTGGGTGGGCACTCAAGTGCTTTGACAATTGCCTTGCACACCCCCATGTTCCCCTGCCCTTACGGCACCCACACACACCAGGTGCTGGTGAGTGCGTCACCGTACCTGACGTTTGGGCACGTGGCGTGCAACAGCGCGATACTGGAGGCGATACAGGGAGCGCGCAAGGTGCACATAGTGGACTTCGGGCTGGGCCACGCCGTGCAGTGGCCGCCACTCATCCAGGCGCTGGCCGTGCTGCCGGGGGGCCCACCGCACCTGCGCATCACGGGCATCGACCGCCCCTTCGTGGCCGGCATCCACAAGGGCTACTGCCTCCGCCAGGCCGGCCAGCGCCTCCGCGTGCGTCTCCCCATCTCTCGCTCTCTCTCCCCACCAACCAACCGCCCGCTTTCTCCTTCTTTCACTCCCTCTCCCGTTCGTCTTTCCTTTCCCTTTCATGTTTCCACCATCAAGTTTTTCTCCCTTTTCACCTCCTCTATCGTTCCTAGCACACCCACAAGAGGTAACTCACATCACAGCCTCGGCATCACTCACACATGACGCGACCTTCCTCTCCTGCCCTCCTCCCATCCCCTCCCTCCCGCGTTGAGCGCTGCAGAAAGTGGCGCAGAGCTGGGGGGTGCCGTTCACGTTCAACTTCATCCCCATAAACCTGCCGGACCTGCAGCCATCCATGGTGCGCTGTGAGGCGGACGAGGTGCTCGTGGTGAACTGTGCGCTGCGCCTGCACAACCTCATGGACGAGTCCGTCACTCCCTCCAACCCGCGCGCCGCCGTGCTGCGCACCATGCGCACGCTGGCGCCCGCCGTGACGACACTGGTGGAGCAGAACACGAACCACAACTCGCCCTTCTTCCTCAGCCGCTTCCTCGAGGCGCTGCACTACTACGCGTCCATCTTTGACGCCCTCGACGCCTCCGTGCCCGCGGACTCGACGGAGCGGCGGCTGTTTGAGCAGCGCGTGCTGGGGCGCGCCATCGTGAACGTGGTGGCGTGTGAGGGGCAGGACCGCACGGAGCGGCAGGAGCCGCTGGGGCAGTGGGAGCGCCGCGTGCACCGCGCTGGGTTCGTGGGGTACCCGCTCAGCCGTGAGGTCGTGGCCACCGCCACCGCCCTGCTCTCCACGTGAGTGCGCCTCTCCAGGCCCCTGTGGCCTCTGTGTAGTGGCCTCGGCTCGCTGGTGTATGCACTTGACCAACGTGGGCCGCTTGTGATGCCACCCTTGATTGGCGTAGTGCTCTCTTGCCCTGTTCACCTGGTGCCTTCCCCTGTTCACCTGGTGCCTTCCCCTGTTCACCTGGTGCTGGTGCCTTCCCCTCTTCCCCTCCCCTCCCCATGGCAGGTACAAGGGCCCATACTCACTGTCGTCAGAGCAACCCAACAGTCTCACTCTCAACTGGAAGGACCAACCACTGCTTGCCATGTCAGCGTGGCGGCCCAATAGCTAATCACAGCACATTGTGCACGTGCGGAGGTGAAGTGCCACGTGGTGACGGGGTGCCACGATGCTGAGGTGGTCCTGTGGAGATTGCAGGAGCAGCATGTTTTTGTTGGAAACAAGTAATTTAAACGCTCCTGTTGTGTCGAAACAATAAGACTACAAACGAGGCAACTCACAGCGGAGCAACGGCGAGTCAAGGAGGTTGACAAAAAAGTAATAGCTGGAGGTTTGAAGGTCAAAGGTCATCGACCTTTGACTCGACGAGATACAGCGCGACAGCAAGGACAAACAACTGACTCGATATTGAGCAGTTGCCCGAGTCGTCACTGTATCGAACCGCAACAGCAAAAAACAGTTAAATCGCACCTCTTCATATTCCTTGTAATCATACCGTATCGCCCTGGATATAGGCGCCGTCCGATTAAAGGCGCCGGCGCTTCTATCTGGAGCATGGCGCTTATGGCCGAAACTCGATTATAAACGCCCCCCCCTGGAAAACCTTTACTTATTATAAGCGCACGTACATTTTGAAATTATAAATCTGTTTAAAACGGTAACGAGTTTCATTTTCGCAGCGAGCCAAATTTCATCTTCGCTTCGTTTGACTCGCGAAGGCTGCGCGTCCAATCAGGATGTGCTGGCATGCCTGCAAAGTGAGGTGAACTTGCTGGTGTGCAGGAAGAAGAATCGCTTGCGCGCGATTCTGCTTTGTGACGCTATATTATTTCGACTCGTTTGAAATGGCATCAATGAAAGGTACAGTTTAGTACCCTAAAAGTATAAAATTGTATTTGTCATTTGTCAGAATGTTATATTTGTCTAGCCTGCAGTGGGGTACTCAATAGTGAGTACAGCCCAATCTAGGGTTTCCTATATGTACTCAACTGCCTGCTAGTGCAAACCTCTCTTTCTCGTTTCTAACTTTCAACTGCTGTTTCCAACATCATTATATAAGCGCATGCGCTTATGCCCGAAACTCAATTATAAGCCCCTTGAAAAAAACAATTTTATTATAAGCGCATATGCGCTACTATCCGGGGTGATACGGTATATATATTCTTGTATCTCTTTGCCGTAATCAATTCATCTTGTTCTCACACACTAGTGCAAGGTGGTTCAATACTTCAACAAAGTTTATTACACGCTTCCGCAATTACAACGTTTCTACTCCAAGTCTCAGCCTTGAAAAGATCCTAAGGGCTTTTTCTCAGCCCATCATGGTATGAGAGCCCGCAAGGCAAAATCGACTATTCAAACTCCTACAACAATACAAGGCATGGCAACCCAGAAGGAGAGGAGTTCCTCCAGCAGAACTCCCGGCACTACCCCTACTCGACCTCCAGTCTCTAGCCTATAGACAGAGGAAGGCACAGCAACAAGACCAGCTGCGGAGTCTACCGAAACTCCCGCGAACCAAACAACAGGTCTCGACCCAAGCATGATGGAGAAGTTCTTCTCCTTCATGTCCTTCTACGAACAGCATCAGCAAGCAGCACCTGCGCAATCAAACAACAGCGACAACAACAATGGAGTTACTCCAATGAGCCTTGACGGTTCATCATATGCGCGCGGAAACAAGCAGCAACCTACCTTTGCCCCATACAAACCTCAACGTGGCTCCAACAGCTTCATGCCACACCAACAGTCTTCACCTGGACAAGAGAAGACACTGGACGCGCTTCAAGTTCAATCACAATTCGCACACGTCTTGAAACAATGAAGGCACCCACGTTTTTCATTTCAAACTTTTCAGTTTTCAAGTTCTCGATTTTTTCGTCCAAGCTGGCGAGGACTAAGAGCCTTCCTCGCTTCACTTCTCCATCGACGCTCCTCTCCGACATCCTCGACCGCAACCTTTCGACTATGGCACCGACGAACAACAATAGCCCCGGGGCTAAGGACGCAACTCCTCGACCGTCGTCGGGGCTTGAGAAAACGACCCGGGAAACCGGCGCGGAGAAGCGAAAACGCCCCACCGAGGAAAATGCCGAGGGGCCCCACACTGGGGTGGACGTGCTGCTTGGCGAGGGCGGCGGCATACGCTCGTGCGCGCCCCAGCCACGCGCGTCCCATGAGCAGGCTCATGGGCCTGCAGTCGCCAATGATGACGACTTTGTCGTCATCACTGGCGCTGACGCGGGAGGATCGCGCGCCACCCAGAAGCGGAGGGCGACGGATTCGCCTGCAACCGAGGGGGCGGCGGCGAATCTTTCGCCCTCGCAAGTGGCGGCACTGCTGGCGCTCCTCCAAAAGCAGGCCGCGGCCCCGGTTACAACGCCAGCAGCTACAACAGAAGCGGAAAAATTCGCTTCCGCTAAAACTGCAAACATCCGCAACAACGTCTCCACTTCCGCGAGAGTTGCCGCATCTCACCACGCCGACAAGGGAAAGGTTCCAGCCGTCGAGGATGAACCCGCTGCACCCGATGACTCTGATTCCGACTCCGACAGCGATGCGGGTGAGGAACCAAACAACCCTATGCCCCTCTTGCCTAACGATCTCCTCCCCCCTCTTCCCTCTCCTCACCCTTCCACCGCGGCCGCCGCCTTCAACCGCAAAGGCGTCCGTGACCAGGCGGAGGTGTTCGAGGCGCTTCAGACTTACCTGGCACACGTGGAACACAAGATCCGCGGAGGCGACGCCGCCGGTGCTCTTAAAACCGTCGGCCAAGCCCAAGACCTCATCAAGCGCCGCTTCGACGTCTTGGTCGTCGCCGAACATGCTGGATTCGATGTGGCTGAGCGCTACCAACTCCTTAAGACTACGGCGGTGCTCACCTCACGCTCCTTCAAGATGGCAGTGGCGGATATGGCAGCCCTCAAGCGTATGAAGACCGGCTTCGCCCGCGGGAGCCGTCCGTTTCACCGCGATTCCCCCCACTTCATGCCAAAGACCATGGGCAGCGGCAACGGCTGTCGGGGCTTCAAGGGAACCTGTTTCCGATGCGGCCAGAATGGCCACATGGCTAGCGCATGCCCCCACGGAGGCCATGGGGGCAATGGGCCCGCACCGGTGGTGTGAGAAGCCCTAAGCAACCTCGCCCTCCCATCTCCCCGCACCCAAGGTTCTCATACCTTGGCTGCCTTTGATGGAGGGTGGGGGAGGGCTGGGCCGGGCGTGGACCAGGGGTCCTTGGTAGTGGCTGCTTAGCCCAAGGCTAGAGGCATGGACTGCCCTAGGGTGTTTGTGTACGCGTGTGTGTGCGTTCTTACGCAAAGCCCGGGTGGCCATGAACTTGTATTTCTAATTATAATGGAATGTTGCTCAGGCCGTTGGCCTTGGAGATCCAGCCTTATGACAAGTTATGTCACAAAAAAAAAAAAAAAAAAAAAAAAAAGAGGAAGAAAGAGAGAGAGGGAGAAGGGTATGGGAAGGCAACGACCAACCCAATAGCAAGAGCAAGTAACAATGCTTGGCATGGCAAGGCATAGTGAGTTCTCGTTGGACAATAGTACCTTTTGTTACCAAGCCATCAGGCTAACGTGCCTTGCGAGAGAGAGAGAGAGAGAGAGAGAGAGAGAGAGAGAGAGAGAGAGAGAGAGAGAGAGAGAGAGAGAGAGAGAGAGAGAGAGAGATAGGAAGAAGAAGAAAGAGAAGCGCGCGCACGACGCGCATGGACCCTCACTTGACTGGTTCTCACTTTGATACCCACAAAGGGGGGTGATACCTATTGAATCCAACTGATTCTCAGCCGCACCTCACTCACGAGCACTCGCAATCTCATTACCCTTGTCAGACCCACGAGTTGCACGTCGTTGTGAGTGAATTATCCGCTCATACGTGCGCGCGGTTACATATCACATAATTTAACGTCATGGTTCGACCCCGTACCCCTGCTATCCCCAAAAAAAACACCCCATGGCAGCCGCCACGCCTTCATGGTCAGGGGAGCAGGACGAGATGTTGGCAACTGCAGTTACCGATCGCGACGTCACCATCATGGGTGGTCGCCTCCGACAGGCTTTCGCTTGGTGGGCTTCGTGGTGCGAGAGCTCCTTGATCCTGTCAGTCATTGCTAATGGGTATTGGCTTCCTTGGAAGGCATTCTCACCGCCGCCGTTTCGCGATCAAAATCACGCCGGAGTCTTGAAGCACACCGACTTCACCCGATCGGCAATTCAGGAATTGCTCACGTCGGGAGCAGCAACAGTTGCATCTAGCTCATCGGCCGTTACATGCATCAGCCCACTCAATGTTGCGGAACAACGCAACAAGTGCCGCCTCATTCTCGACTTGCGAAAGGTCAATCAATACCTCATTGTCCCCAAATTCAAGTACGAAGGTCTTCTTCGCGTCGCTGAACTGGCAAAGCCGGGCGACTGGATGTTCTCGGTTGACTTAAAGTCTGGCTATCATCACATCAATATTCATTCATCTTGCTGGTCATTCCTAGGCTTTCACTTCGAAGGCACCGACTATTTTTTCAAGTCGTTACCGTTCGGCCTCGCTACAGCGCCCTCCCTGTTCACCCAGTTGATCAAGCAGTTGGCACGGAAATGGCGAGAGCAAGGTATTCAGGTCATACCCTTTGTGGACGATATATTGTTCCTTTCCGACTCGGAACAGGACACTCGTTTGAAAAGTGGTGCAGTCATTCGAGACCTCAAGGAGTCAGGGCTCGTCATCAACGCAAAAAGGTCACACCTGGCCGCGACTCAAAGATTGCACTTCCTCGGAATGGAGCTGGA